CACACACACACACACACACACACACACACACACACACACACACACACACACGAACACACAAACATGCGCACACACGCAGGCTTACAGTCACATTCATAATATAAACCAACAGTAATAATGTTTAGTTAGATACATACTCAGTATTTTGGTTGTAATTTAATTGTTATTCTGATGCATGCTCTACGGCCATATGAATACTGGTAACAAGATGTTTAAGATGAAATAATTTTGATAGATAATAATAAAAATACCTTCTGTATCTTTGTTAAAGATCAGAAGCCTAGGATTTTTACTTCTAATTAATGTGTTAATATTAGGGAACAAGGGATGTTTATTGTCCAAAAAGATGGAATTAATTTTTTTAATGCAAGCTGTAATGCAAAATTTATAATGATGACGATGATGATGATGATGATGATGATGATGATGATGATGATGATGTTTATGATGATGATAATGAGGATGATGGTGATGACAATGATGATGAAACCAAGCAACCCCCACCTTTTTCCATCACAATATCTCGATTTTTATTTAAGAAAGATTGGTAATATGATGATGATGATGATGATGATGATGATGATGATGATGATGATGATGATGATGAGGAGGAGGAGGAGGATGATTATGATGATGAAGATGATGATGCATTCGAAACGAAAGGGTGAGCCATTTTGATATTAAAAATATATCTTCATTGCCTTTGAATTTATGCCCGAATCTCCCTACCTTCTGAGCTTTTTTCATCAATGATGATGATGATGATGATGATGATGATGATGATGATGATGATGATGATGATGATGATGATGATGATGATGATGAATAGGGAAGCAGTTAACAGAAGAGAAAGGATATAGGAAAACATCCAAATTGAAACATTTTGAAGCAGCATTGTGAAATCATGCGCTCGTCAAAACAATGAAATCATAGAAACCGGCATTTTTCTGGGCGTTGGGCTTTTTTTCTGCTTTTCTTTTTTTAAATTTTGGCTCAGTATCTTTGAAGTCTTTTCAAACACAAATTTCTGTGTAGATTGTTAAGAAAAACGTTCGTTTGAGACACCAAATAAAAAATATCTAAACTTTTGCAGCCATTTTGTCGTTAATATTACCTCTCATAGATCTACCCGGTGACCCCCACCTCTTTCAATCGCAAATATTTCGATTTCTATTCAATATATTAGACTATTTTAAACCCCGAATGCAAGACAAATTATAAACAAGCTTTAAGATGATATCAATAAGTCTACATACTCAAAAATTGACGACCGCCTATTTCCACCGCGTTGCGACCCATATATTCAGAAACCACAATATTTAAGAGATGACAGATCTTTAGAACTCACAACATAATTTATTTCGTATATTATACATTTTTATACACTATACCTGTACATAAAAGTAGACTTATTGCTCACAATATTTTCCCACAGGACTATCACAATATCTTTATGGCTGGCGGAGTCAAGTGTATGAATGATCCAGATCACGACGACTTTATGAAGTAAGATTCAAAGTACCGTTTTCTAGTTACTTCAGGAAACGAAACACTACATCAGAATGATAAAGTTCTGACGTTTTTGGTTTCTTTGAGTTACTAAGACCGTGAGGTTAGAAACCAAATGTTCTATTCGTATTATCAAAAACGGAAGATTATTCGGAGTCGTTATCAAAATACACAAAGACATGCATTCGGAAAAGCTTGACTTGTTGTGAAACTCAAAAATTTTGTGGTCAAATTTCTCAAAATTATGTACCTTTTTTTCAAGAAGAGTTTCATTTAAAAAGGGAACGTGGGAACGGGATCATCCTTTGCTGAACCCTGAAGACATTTGATTGGATGCTAGTTTACTTTAGTTGTAAGCGGTGACAACAGTGATTGGTTAAACGAGCAAGTGCATGTGTTCACTGCATGCAGCTAGAATTGGAAGATTCTGGAACAGTCTTAACAGTTTTAGCTGATTATTTTGTTTATCAAGAAATATGGGTTGGGATGGGGGTGGGTGGGGCTCAGGACCTTTAGCGCTTCATTACGCCCCGCCACTGTTCATATAGTGTTTATTATATAACTATCTCTGTATGATTTCCCAGGTCTCTGACGTTCCTCAAAGGTTGGCCAACCCATCTTCTCAGAGAAACTACAAAGAAATGTCTCTTTCTTTATTTCAAGTACGTTGGCTTGCTTTATAAACAAATCGGAGATGATAGTTTTATGTCTTTACTTTTGTTTATTTGATCTCTAAAGAACCAACTCAATTCATCAGAAAAGTATACATAGCCCTATAAAATAAAAACAACTTGGATCATCAGTGCCGTTGTATAGCTTGATAAAAATGACAGACATATTTTCTGTTTTTATTTTTCTCCTAAGGGGATATTTTTTTGGAAAGGTAGGGGGTGGTGGTGAATATTCTACTGCAAAGTCTTTGAACTACTATTGTCTAAAGTGTTTTGTTTCATTGTAAGAACTTTCTTGTTTGATGTTCTTAATCTGTCCCATCTGCTTCAGATAACACTCAATTTCCGACACACCTATGCATCCTCTAGCAATAAAACAAAACTATTTTGAAAGAAGAACAGAACATCATTTACACTTACACTGCATGGTGTTTAAAACTTTGCCGCCTCATCTCGCAGATTGGCGATGTTTTCCACCCAGTTTCTTTGAATTTCCCCCCAAATATGATGGCAAAGTGTTAAACCACACCCTGTTTTTGGCTTCTGTCGTGATATGCACAATGAATTGGCGACATCGAGGCCAGTTCCAGTTCCCACACGTTGAGTTACAATAGTATGTATTGTCACGCTTTGGACTATAGAGCAGATATCCTGAGTAGGGCTCTACTAAAAATTGAGTAGTTTGAGAAGTTGTCAGGGCTTTCAACATACTACAATTGATCTTGTCAGAGATAGACGATAAATTCTTTTTTTTTTAGTAGAGGTTTTACGGCGCTCGCCACTGCATAAGGTCATATGAACGCCAGACGATTAGAGGTGTTACAAGAGCGTAAAAAACATAACAGAGAATAAGGGTAGATAAGGACGATATATGTTTGATAGGAAAGAAGAAGCAAACCACACCAGAGCACCCGCCAACCACCCACATAAATTGTCTTCTCCCAACTCACCTCCGAAATAACCAGCCAAGTGCTGAAAAGGGGCCTTAGAGATATACCAAAAGATCATCTTGCATTTGTAAAAAAATATATAAGGAAATTATTGTGTCTGGGTAGTTTTCACAAACTCAAACACAACTGTATTATTCGCAGACGCGGTGACGTGCTTGTGAAAGACAGCCAGTATTCGGATTGGTTGATCGTTGTCAAATCGGTAAGCTTTTTTACTTTTTCATCGCTTACGACGACGACGACGACGATGATAATAATGATGATGATGATGATGATGATGATTTGTTTTTATCGCACCTTTTGACATTATGGCGTGAATGCGCGCACTTTTGTTGCTATAGCTTGTAGTCATTAGATTTTACATTATTTTTTTGTATCGTATTCCCTGACGAAGCCCTTTACAGTCCGAAACGTTGAACCTGTATTAAATTGGACAAATCTACTAAGTCTCAACCCCTTTTTTATTCCCTGCTACCTACAATGATGATGATGATGATGATGATGATGATGATGATGATGATGATGATGATGATGATGATGATGATGATCATGACTATTTTTTATATACCATTATATATATATATATATATATATATATATATATATATATATATATATATATATATATATATATATATACAAGTAAGTGCATGTACAATTCGTTCTGCTTTTAACGATTCCAAAATTACTTGACATTACTCCTTTGCAAAAAATGTAAACAGTTTACAGTCTTGAGTAGTTTAGGGTGTGAGTATATACGACATTCTTGTGTTGGCATACGAAGAAGTACTAATAATGTTGAGTTTTCAGTTTTATACTTCAAGGGTTTTTTTCTACATTCCATGCCCACCTTCCTCTTCCCCAACCCTCTCTCACACTAACTCGCTCTTCAAGGCTGACCCCCACTCCCACCTCCCTCACACGCACCCCGCTCTCCTCACCCTTGTTTTGCTTTCTTGTTGATTTTGATATTTGTTGCTTCTTCTCCCTATCATAATAATGTTTTTTTTTCTTATGAGTTTGGCAGTGTTGATGCTCTGTTTCTCGTCTTGTCGCGTAAACAGTTTCTGTTTATACTGTGTGCTCCTACAGGGAAGCGTGGCAGTGCTGAAGAAGCTGAAAAAAGTCGAGGCCTACGAGTGGAAAAACGGAAAAGGTATGTGTTCAGAAGACACATTCGGTTAAAAGCATTGCGCATGATTTTGTAATGACGCCGTGGAATCACTGACAACCTGGTCACAGTATAACTAATACCGAGAGATACAACAATCCGGATCGCACTGAATACAGCAAGTGGGCGATGGTGGAGACTATGTACTTTTAATACTCGTAGAAGATGTTTATAATTATGACACTCATAATAACAAAAATGCTAATAATTTTGATGATAATAATTATAACTTTACATTTGCAAAAATATAAATTTAATGTGTCATGACACGGTAGAATTAGGCGTTGGTCAACTTTTGACCATATTATTTATGGAGTTATCGATATATTCTTGAAGTCTGTTTATTTGCCTTGCTTTTGGAGTAAAAAAAATACCATTTATTGAATTGAAGTCGAGTTATTTGCATTAAAAGGAGGTGAAGGTTTCATGGTGTCATCAGAGATAAAATAAGCGAAAGAATGGTGGCAAAAATTCATATGTGCATATTACTCGTATATTATCATTCTCGCAAAAAATTAACATTACACGTACTTCCACAGAGGTGAAATTTGTGTCAGAGAAAGCCAAGCGAGAGCGACAGACCCACCGGCAAATTTGGAAGAAACTGGTCTTGCCTGAACTGAACGTACCTCTGAAGGTACTTTTTTCATCTACTTTGGCCATGGTTGTGTCATCAGGGAACTAAGAGAGCGTGCCGTTACCTCAGTTAATGTTCTGCTGGACAACAAGGCGTTCTGAGTTTTGGTTTTTAAGGCTCCCCACCGATTTGGCTCCGAGCAATTATTTTCTCTACATAGAAAATGGACGTAGAACTTTGAGACCCTGTCTCTTAAAACAACTTAACGGTGTTGAACGTGGCGTTATACCAATACAACTTTTCAGAGGAGTACAGAGAAATCATGTGCTGTTATTATCATGACTTAAATTGTACCCGTTGAGGTCCAAAGAGTCAGAGAAAAAAACTAACGTGGACATTGCAACACTCTATATACAAATAGTCCCATACACTTAACGAAAGAGCGAAAGGAACAGAGCCAGAATAGGGAGAAGTGTGTATACAAATTAATATTATTATTATTATTATTGTTCTTTT